CCTAGATTTTGTCTTTAGTGTTATAATAAATTTCAGCACATTTTGCTTCGTGATGGTCGTCACGGATCTAGTGGGAACAATGAGTTTTCCCTTTCAATATTTTCTCCGAATCAAAATTTTATTCCCGACTTAAATTTTGGGTTTGTTTCTCCGGAAATTTAATTTGGGAAATCAAATTTCCCTCGGCACGGTTTAAAAACGGGAAAATTTTAGACGCAGATCTATCCTGACAAGTGGGCTGGGTTCATGGTGCTTCCCAAATGCAAGGTCACAGGTTTTGGAAAAACGTTTTAAGGGACGGTCGTGAGATCCCCGTGGTGCCTTACCATGGAGGACCCAAGCGGAGGCGCCAGGCATTTTCCAAGTAAAAGGAAATATTTTGGGCAGGCGTTGGCGAACTCTTGACCAGGGCACCCAAAAAAATTTTTGTGCTTCCTGTCCCCCTTTCAGGAGAAAAATGCTGTGAAATTTTTCTTCTCCCTCCTTTTATTTCTATTCTCTCTCTCCTCTCTCTTCTCTCTCCCCTCTCTCTCTCTCTCCTCTCCTCTCTCTCCCCTCTCTCTCTCTTTTCTCTCTCTTCTCCTCTCTCTTCTCTTTCCCCCTCTTATTCCCAAATTTCCCCTTTTTCAGGGGAGTCGAAGCCACCAAAATCAAAATGCGATAATGATGCGACATACCCACATCAGGCGGACATTTCCGGGATTTCTTTGGACCCGCGAGTTTAAAAAAGGGAAAGGGGCCCATTTTTATTGACCCCGGGGTAAGTACAGTGTGAGAAAAGTATTATAGAATTTAATTTTAAAAAGCACCTTTTTTTAAACCATGCAACGAAAAATTCGGGGCCTTTTCCCCCCCGGGGACAAAGGGAAACCCTCCCCGAATTAGAAGTGTAGCCCCTGGGGTGGGATACATCCTTTCTCGAACCTTTAAAAACTTTGGAACAAAGTATATTTGTACTAAAAATGGACCCAAAAGGGTCGAAAACCCTGGCCCTTTTTGGTTGGGGGGTCGAGCACCTAAAAAAATTAGTAATTTAAAACTTTCTAAAGGGAAAGGGTTTTTAAAAAGAAATTTTAAGTATCTGGTTTAGTTGCACCAATTTAACCTCCTTCCTCAGCCCCGAGGGTTCACAATAAATATATTTCCCTTTCCTCCCTCAAAAATCATAACCAGTTTAAGTCATAAAAAAATTTATGTTTAAAGTATGAAAAAGAAAAAAGGGGGCGGGGGACTTGAACTGTGGCCCTGATGGGGAAAAACCAGTGCTTTACCCTTAACCTTCGAGGCTTCTAATAGGAAAGATTAGGAACCCAAAGCGCAAAACCCCGGGCTGTGGGAAGGAGGGCAGGAGGGTCACACACACACACACACACACACCACACCACAAAACCACTCACACACCACACACACACACACCAAAAATACAAACACACAAACACCAGAATTAAAAAAAAGATTTTAATCTTTTCCCTCCGGATATCAAACCCCCAGGAAAGACAGAGGGAAAGGGGAGGGGGGGGGAGGGGCACTGTTCATTAAAAAAAAGTGGGGGTGTTTTAGGAAAAAGGAAGGGAAAGGGATGGCACGGGGCGAAAGGGACTAGTTAGTAGGAACAAAACCATCTGAGGGGAAAAAGGTGATAATTGCAGTAATGTACAACCCACCCCAGAACTGCCCGGAGGGCCCAAAAGAAAAATACGATGGGGAGAACAGAGCAATGATCAACACACTAGCCGAGGTGGCCAGGAGAGCACACATGGGGGGAGCAAAGTTACTAGTTTTGGGGGGGATTTCAATCCGGGGGGATTTGGGTTTGGGAAAAAATTGGGGGCCCTATGGGGGGCCCCAAAAAATGGAGAGCCCAAAATGATGGATGTGGGGTTAAATGGAAAAAACCCCATGCATCAAAAAGGTTAGGACATACCGGGGAGAGAGGAGAGGGTGAACCCGCAAGACTGGCCTTTTTTTATTCATTTGAGTAGTTCGGGCATCGAGAGTATTTATGTATGAAAAGGGCCCCGGGAGTAGTGTCATGGGGTTTTTGTGCTTCGACTACATAGTTTAGCTCAAAGTGGAGGGGAAAAGCTAGCAGGAATAGGCTGGGAAAAAACCAAAAATTTCAAAAGGGGGAGCTACTCAGGCAAAGAGGAACTTCCTTCCCAAACATTTTTGTGGGAGGGGGGAATGACAGGGAAAAAACCCGTACAAGAAAAAGATGGGCTTGTGGCAACAAATGTAAGGAGGCGGGGGGAGGGGGTTTGTTCCCCAAGGGGAAAACAGAAATAATGGGAAGAACAGAACGGTCCTTGGTTCACCCAAAGGGTAGGGAGGGAAAAAAATAGGTTTTATAGAGAATGGAAAAAGGTTTTCAGAAAACAGAGAATCAGGGAAAAAAAAGAAATTAGCGAAGAGCTAGAAAAGAAAATGCCCCCGAAAGAAAGGGGGGGTCAGAGAAAAATATGAAAATTTACATAGCATCAAAAATAAAGACTGGGCCCGAAATGTTGTACGCCCCATCAGGAGGAAAACAACAGTCAAAGGGAAAAGGGAATCAGGGTGAGGAAGGGTTTATGGGGGGTTCGCAAAAAAAAACGACCGGAAAAAAGGGATGTCAGGAGCCAACACAAGATTTAAAGAGGGGATTTTTCAGTGGAAAACCCGAAAAATTCCGGGAAATCGAACGGGGGGCACACCAGCAAAATGCTGGATGAGGTTTAAAATAACCCAAAGGGGGAGGTTTAGAAAAATGCTATGCGAAAAATTGGAAACCCCAAAGGGTGGTGGGACCCGAAACATCTCTCCCTGGGTCCTTAAAAAGGGAGCAGAGATATTGTGTGTCCAAAAAAAGACTTCACCACATCATTTGAACTGGGCAACTCCCAGAGGGGATGGAAAAAAAAAAGGCAAAAAAAAAAAGGGAGTCCCCAAATTTTTAAAAAAAAGAAACAGACATGAGGGGACTAAACTACAGACCTGTATCACTAACGTGTATAGTATGCAAGGTCAGGGAAAAGAAGATCTCAGGAGGAGAGTGGTGGAGCACGGGGGAAAGAAACAAGTGTATAATTGACAACCAGCAGGTTTCAGGGAAGGAAAATCCTGTTTTCACAAACCCACTAGAGTTTTATTACAAGGTGACAGAAGTAAGACAAGAGAGAGAGGGGGGGATCGACTGCATATTTTTGGACTGCAAGAAGGCCTTCGACACCCGTTCCTCACAAGACGTTACTGCAAAAGCTTGAGGATCAGGCACACATAACAGGAAAAGGCGTGCAATGGATCAGAGAATACCCGACAGGGAGGCAACAACGAGTCATGGTACGCGACGAGGTGTCGAGTGGGCGCCTGTGAAAAAGCGGGGGTTTCCCCAGGGGTCAGTCCTAGGACCTGTGCTGTTTTGGTAAAATATGAACGACATAACGGAAGGGATAGACTCAGAAGTGTCCTTGTTGCAGATGATGCGAAGTTAATGAGAAGAATCAAATCGGATGAGGATCAGGCAGGACTACAAAGAGACCTGGACAGGCTACAAGCCTGGTCCAGCAACTGGCTCCTTGAATTTAACCCTGCAAATGAAAAGTCATGAAGATTGGGGAAGGGTAAAAAAGACCGCAGACACAATATAGTTTAGATGGCCAAAGGGACTGCAAACCTCACTCAAGGAAAAAGATTGGGGGTGAGTATAACACTGAGCATTCTCCTGAGGCGCACATCAATCAGTTAACTGCTGCAGCATACGGGCGCCTGGCAAACCTACGGATAGCTTTCCCGATACCTCAGTAAGGATTCGTTCAAGACTCGGGTATCCATTACGTCAGGCCCATACTAGAGTATGCAGCACCAGTTTGGGAATCCACACCTGGTAAAGCACGTAAAGGGAAATTGAGAGAGTGCAAAGGTTTGCAACAAGACTAGTTCCAGAGCTACGAGAATTGTCCTACGAAGAAAGGTTTAGGGAAATCGGCCTGACGACACTGGAGGACAGGGGGTCAGGGGAGACATGTAACGACATATAAAATACTGCGCGGAATAAACAAGGTGGACAAAGAAAGGATGTTCCAGAGAAGGGACACAGACACAAGAGGTCACAATTGGAAGTTGAAGACTCAGATGAATCAAAGGGATGTTAGGAAGTATTTCTTCAGTCATAGAGTAGTCAGGCCGTGGAATAGCCTAGAAAGTGAAGTAGTGGAGGCGGGAACCATACATAGTTTTAAGGCGAGGTATGATAGAGCTCATGGGGCAGGGAGAGAGAGGACCTAGTAGCAATCAGCGAAGAGGCGGGGCCAGGAGCTGTGACTCGACCCCTGCAACCACAAATAGGTGAGTACAAATAGGTGAGTACATACACACCATACATAGTTTTAAGACGAGGTATGATAAAGCTCATGGAGCAGGGAGAGTGAGGACCTAGTCGCGGTCAGTGAAGAGGCGGGGCCAGTGAGAAGTCACGAAAGCCCTTGTAATTTCACTGTCCTTTCACAGCGATTGTTCTGCATATATATATATATATATATATAATATATATATATATATATATATATTATATATATATATATATATATATATTATATATATATATATTTATATATTATATATATATATATATATATATATATTTTATATATATATATATATATATATATATATATTATAATATATATATTATATATTTTATATATATTCAGTTTATACAATATGCAGTCATTTCTTATTCAGTTGTATAGTTATGTAAATACAACATCTCTACCTTTGCAGTCGTTAAATACATAAAACAATATCATACAAACACTGAAGTTCTTAAACAAGCAACTTCTCTTTTTTTAGGTACAATTTTTTTTATTAAATTTCACGCACTCAAGTTCGTACATGAGTTAACTTAATACTCAGATAGATCTTTATATAACGAACAAGTTTAGTTAGTTTTTTTATATTCAAACTATTGACTAGTGACTGACTATTTATTGTTTTGTGTTGAACTATGCAAGTAAATCATGCTCCGTTAGTCATATAAGTACGTTCATGCTCTTTTAGTGGTGCTGGTAAAAATCATGCTCTGTTTGGTCATGTAGGTGAAATCATACTTTCTTGGTAATGCATGTGGACTCATTCTCTCTTGGTCATGAATGTGTAATCATATTCTTTAAGTCATGCATGTGACATCATGCTCTTTTAGTCATGCATGTGACAGCATGCTCTTTTAGTCATGTATGTGGCATCATGCTTTCTTAGTCATACATGCGAAATCATGCTCTCTTAGTAATGCATGTAAAATTGTACTGTTTTAGTTATGCATATTAAATCATGCTCTTTTGGACATGCATATGAAATCATTCTTTCTTGGTCATGCATGTGAAATTATGCTCTCTTGGACATGCATGTGAACCATGCTCTCTAGGTTAGACGAATGAGCCTAACCTCAGAGTCATGCGAGAGAGCCCGTGCTATCAAAGCGATAAGAGTGAACACAGTATGGGCGTTTTTCTCACCTTTAGCAGCGCTTCCAGCTGGTGTTTTGTTGTACCTTAGTCCTAGTGAAGTATCGTATCTCGCATTCTCGTCGTACTTCAACAGGCCAGTAGCTTTTCTTCTCCGTCCTATGTTTTTCTTGTTCCCATTTGTTACCCATATTCGTGGTTTATTCCCTGAGAGAGACCATTACCAAGAGTAACGATGAGGATCTTTCTTCGCTTTAAACTCCATCGTTCATACAGAACAGCACAGGCCCTAACACTGACCCCTGTGCAATCCCACCTAGGAAGTTACTTGTCGGTCACACATGCTCCAGGAGAAGACTTCGATACCATTTATAACTAATTCATTTCTCATCTGTCAATGAGAAAGCATAAAAAGTAACTCTTAATGGCACCAGTTCAAGCATCTTAGTACAGTTGATTAGCAAACTGGAGAACTCAAGCAGCCCCCTTCCTTTGTGAGCCTCGAATGCTTCATTAATCAAACTATTTTTTAACAAATCAGTTGTGTCAGTCAAGGTGGCAAAACGAAGTACAGGTACCCGTTTAGATCCATGTATTTACTCAGTATACATCGGGTAGCGTGTCTCCTAGTTGGTTTTGTGTGTGTGTGTGTGTGTGTGTGTGTTGTGTGTGTGTGTGTGTGTGTGTGTGTGTGTGTGTGTGTGTGTGTGTATGTGTGTGTGTGTGTGTGTGTGTGTGTGTGTGTGTGTGTGTGTGTGTGTGTGTGTGTGTGTGTGTGTGTGTGTGTGTGTGTGTGTGTGTGTGTGTGGGTGTGTGTATGTGTGTGTGTGTGTGTATGTGTGTGTGTGTGTGTGTGTGTGTGTACGTGTATGTGTGTGTGTGTGTAGTGTGTGTGTGTGTGTGTGTGAGTGTGTGTTGTGTGTGTGTGTGTATGTGTGTGTGTGTGTGTACTCACCTATTTGTGGTTGCAGAGGTCGATTCACAGCTCCTGGCCCCGCCTCTTCACTGACTGCTACTAGGTCCTCTCTCTCCCTGCTCCATGAGCTTTATCATACCTCGCCTTAAAACTATGTATGGTTCCCGCCTCCACTACTTTACTTTCTAGGCTATTCCACGGCCTGACTACTCTATGACCGATGAAATACTTCCTAACGTCCCTTTGATTCATCTGAGTCTTCAACTTCCAATTGTGACCTCTTGTTTCTGTGTCCTATCTCTGGAACATCCCGTCTTTGTCCACCTTGTCTATTCCGCGCAGCATTTTACATGTCGTTATCATGTCTCCCCTGACCCTCCTGTCCTCCAGTGTCGTCAGGCCGATTTCCCTCAACCTTTCTTCGTAGGGCAATCCCCTTAGCTCTGGAACTAGCCTTGTTGCAAACCATTGCACTCTCTCTAATTTCTTGACGTGCTTGACCAGGTGTGGATTCCAAACTGGTGCTGCATACTCCAGTATGGGCCTGACGTAGATGGTATACAGAGTCATAAACGAATCCTTACTGAGGTATCGGAACGCTATCCGTAGGTTTGCCAGGCGCCCGTATCCTGCAGCAGTTATCTGATTGATGTGCGCCTCATGAGATATGCTCGGTGTTATACTCACCCCCAGATCTTTTTCCTTGAGTGAGGTTTGCAGTCTTTGGCCATCTAAACTATATTGTGTCTGCGGTCTTCTTTGCCCTTCCCCAATCTTTATGACTTTGCATTTGGCAGGGTTAAATTCAAGGAGCCAGTTGCTGGACCAGGCTTGTAGCCTGTCCAGGTCTCTTTGTAGTCCTGCCTGATCCTCGTCCGATTTGATTCTTCTCATTAACTTCACATCATCTGCAAACAGGACAACTTCTGAGTCTATCCTTCCGTTATGTCGTTTCACATATACAAGAACAGCACAGGTCCTAGGACTGACCCTGTGGAACCCCGCTTGTCACAGGCGCCCACTCTGACCCCTCGTCGCGTACCTGACTCGTTGTTGCCTCCCTGTCAGGTATTCTCTGATCCATTGCAGTGCCTTTCCTGTTATGTGTGCCTGGTCCTCTAGCTTTCGCAGTAACCTCTTGTGGGGAAACTGTGTCGAAGGCCTTCTTGCAGTCCAAAAATATGCAGTCGATCCACCCTTCTCTCTCTTGTCTTACTTCTGTCACCTTGTCATAAAACTCTAGTAGGTTTGGGGGACACAGGATTTTCCCTTTCCCCTGAAACCGTGCTGGTTGTCAATTATACACTTGTTTCTTTCCAGGTGCCCCCACTCTCCTCCTGATGATCTTCTCCAGGGACCTTGCATACTATACACGTTTAGTGATACAGGTCTGTAGTTTAGTGCCTCATGTCTGTCCCTTTTTAAAAATTGGGACTACATTTGCCATTTTCCATCCCTCAGAGAGTTGCCCAGTTTCAAATGATGTGTTTGAAGATCTTTGTTAATGGCTCACACAATATTTCTGCTCCTCTTTAAGGACCCATGGAGAGATGTTGTCTGGTCCCACCGGCCTTTGAGGTGTTAAGTTCGCATAGCAGCTTCTTCCACCCCCTCCTTGGTTATATTTGACCTCATCCGCACTTGCTGGTGTGCCCCCTGTTCTGATTTTCTTGGAGTCCTACTGGTTTTCCACTGTAAATACCTCTTTAAATCTTGTGTTGAGCTCCTGACAAACCTCTCGGTCGTTTCTTGTGAATTCCCCATCACCCTTTTCCTCAGTCTGATTACCTGGTCCTTGACTGTTGTTTTCCTCCTGATGTGGCTGTACAACAACTTCGGGTCAGTCTTTACTTTTGATGCTATGCCCTTTTCATATTGTCTCTGAGCCTCCCTTCTTATCTGTGCATATTCGTTTCTGGCTCTTCGGCTGATTTTTTTTATTTTCCTGATTTTCTCGTCTTCTGTACCATTTCCTTTCTCTAGTACACCTAGTTTTTGGCCTCCTACACCTTTGGGTGAACCAAGGACTCGTTCTGTTCTTCCCATTATTTCTGTTTCCCTTGGGAACAAAACCTCTCCTCTGCCTCCTTGCATTTGTTGCTACATAGTCCATCATTTCTTGTACTGGTTTTCCTGTCAGTTCCCTCTCCCACTGAATGTCTTGAAAGGAAGTTTCCTCATGCTGATAGTTCCCCCTTTTGTAGTTTGGTTTTTCCCAGCCTTTTCCTGCTACTCTCTCCACTTGGAGCTCAACTATGTAGTCGAAGCACAGAAACCACATGATCACTAGCTCCCAGGGGCCCCTTTTATACATGATACCCTCGATGTCCGAACTACTCATGGTGAATACAAGGTCCAACCTTGCTGGTTCATCCTCTTCTCTCTCTCTGGTAGTGTCTCTAACTGTTGATGCATGAGGTTTTCCAGTACCACATCCATCATCTTGGCTCTCCATGTTTCGGGGCCCCCATGGGCTCCCGGTTTTCCCAGTCAATCTCCTTGTGGGTTGAAATCACCCCTAACTAGTAACTTTGCTCCCCCCATGTGTGCTCTCCTGGCCACCTCGGCTAGTGTGTCGTTTATTGCTCAGTTGCTCTCATCGCATTCTTCTCTTTGGCCTCCTGCAGTTCTGTGGTGGGTTGTACATTATGCAATTATCACCTTATGTTTCCCCCAGATGGATTGTTTCTACTAAGTAGTCCCTTCGCCCGTGGCCATCCATTCCTTCCATTTTCTCAAAACCCACTGGTTTTTAATGAGCAGTGCAACTCCTCCTCCCCTCTCCCCTCTGTCTTTCCTGAGGATTTGATATCCCGGGTGGAAAGATTGAATCTGTTATTATTCTGGTGAGTTTTGTTTCTGTGAGTGCTATTATGTCTGGGGATGTCTCTTTGATTCTTTCGTGCCATCCTCATACTTGTTTTTTTATTCCATCTACATTTGTATACCACACGTTCAACTTCTTTCTAAGACTGTGGTCTGGGAGGTATATTGGGGTTGGGGAAGTGGGATACCTGGTAAGGAACTATGGGTTGTTTCGTGGGGGTGGAGTTTGTAATGTAGTGGGTTGGGGCATTGGATTTTGGCATGGGTTTTTTTTGATTTAGAGTGTTTGGTTGCACTGGGGTTGACCTGGTTGGGAGGCTTCTATAGGAAGTTGTGGGGAGGCTGTATTTGATTTTTCTTCCTGGGTCTGGATCTCCTGTTCTGTCTTCTTTCCATCCCCTCTCTTTCCTCCTTTCGCCTTTTTTGTCATCTCTTCTCAGTTTCTGCCTTTCTTCTTGTGTTCTGCCACGGTCGAGATACACCTTCCTGTATGCCGTCATGTCCTTTAATCGTGGTGTGTGTGTGTGGTGTGGGGTGTGTGTGTGTGTGTGTGTGTGTGGTGTTTTGTGTGTGTGTGTTTTGTGTGTGTGTGTTACTCACCTAGTTGTACTCACCTAGTTGAGGTTGCGGGGGTCGAGTCTGTGTGTGTATGTGTGTGTGTGTGTGTGTGTGTTTACATGTGTGTGTGTGTGTGTTTAGTTATGTGTGGAATTATGTGTGGGTTTATTAAGTGTCTGAAAAGTAGGTGGAATTGTGCATTGGAGTGTTATGTGGAGTGTCAGTGGTTCCTTGCCTGACCACAACCTCTTGTGACCTGACCCCCACCCTCCTGGGACTTGACCCACACCTACTTACAATGTTGCCCTTTATGCTTGTCCTACCACCTAGGCTTATAGTAACTTACTCGCCTTGCTCCATAGATTACCAATTGGTATTCCTTATTGAGTACTTGAGTGCTTATTCTTTATTGTGCTAGGAGAGTTGGACCATTCACAATCAGCTTGGCGGTTAATTGGAACCTGAAACCCCACACCCAAACAGCCATGCATAGGTGAATACAGTACTTGGAATGCAGCTGTAGCAGCCTGTAGATTGTCCAGCTCGATGAGACGTCCTGGTGTAGATCCACTCAATTTCTTCTCGTTATATAATGTGCCCTATTCACTGTATTTCTTTCACTGGTCACACGATTGTTTCACTTTGTTAACTTTCTTGGGTGACACGTGGCAACGTCGCCTCAGCACCCACACTAGCCTGCCCACTCTGACTGGGCTACCACGTGTGTGTGTGTGTGTGTGTGTGTGTGTGTGTGTGTGTGTGTGTGTGTGTGTGTGTGTGTGTGTGTGTGTGTGTGTGTGTGTGTGTGAGTGTGTATGTGTGTATTTGTACCTGCTGGCGGTTTATCTGCCTGCAGACTGTCTCTCTCTGCTGGTTGAGTACTCCTCAAGGGAGGTTCCTTGATGCT